CCCCTCCACCCCCACCTCCCAGAACCCTGCGTACGTGCTTCCGAACGGAGCAAGACTTTACAAATTCGCACAAAAAGACACCCCAGTCGCGATGACCACCTCATTGAGAGCTGGGGGTATGCATGCCCACGTGCCTTGCCATACATCCACGCGGGTGCGAGAGAGACAAGAGAGCATCACGAAGTTGCCGTATTTTGCAATAACATCCCCTCCCTTGTCCGTCTCTCTCGCCCGAGCAGCGAGACGGGGCACAACCATACGTGACTCAGACATTTTCATCTCCAAAGCGATGATTCTGCCCCGCTGGTTGGGCGCTCTGCTTGTGCTCCGGCGTTGATCCGGAATAAGCTTCTCTGACCGACTCACCTGTCGTCCGGAGCTGCTGCGGGCCGAGGGTGCGCTGCCGGTCCACCGGCTGCGCCTCTTGTGCGCGAACACCTTGCTCCCGCGAGTCTGCGAAAACAAATGGCACAAGTTAGATAATTTGCTTGAATTCCATACATCGCCTTTTCGAAATCGTTTTTCCAGAGTGCCTTTTCTCACTGAGTATTTGGCGTACAAAACGTTTTTACCGGCGGGCCACACCACACTTTGCTGTCACGCGTACCGCGCCAAACAACCATGTCCCTTTCTTTACGATGAGGCCGTTCGGACGTTTTATCTCGCTAAGCAGAGAAAAGGAAAAGAGAATCAAGGCGTTGGTTCTTCTTCTCTCTCGCTCACTCACTCCGTGTAGCACCTCCATCCACTTTTACCCCCACCCCCGTCTCTGTCTCACACACGCATGGACCGACCGATCGGTAGATGAAGCGATAAAACGACAAAGTCGCGTCGGCAGAGGCACGTTTCGCCTTTGCACACTCAACCTGGGCCAGGTCCGGAGAGAAAGAGGTTTATTTGCGATTGATAACTGTTCTGAAAATAAAGACGTGCGCACTCTCCATACCACCTGGACGGGCCTTCTAGTCCCTCTATACACATCTATTTTCTCAAGGAAACGTTCTGCATCGCGGCCCCCTTTTTTTAACCTCACATTAATAGGTTTGAGGAGAGCCTGTACAGGTACATATACGACATTACCAATAAAGTACCGAGTACCCCAAAGTGAGTCGTTTCACTAAAAACGTGGATCCGACTGAACACCCCTCGAAGGCGGATCGGGCACAACGACGACGCGACGGCTCGTCCTGAACGACGCTCGTAAAAAATGGGCCTCTCCGGGGCTGGACAGGGGAGGTGGTGGAGGTATTGTCTGTTGCAACCCTCCCCCCCCCCCCCTCAAATCGCTTTATGCGGCCCAAAAGTCAGCAGTAGCAGCAGCGGGTTGCAGACTCGCCCTCGGCATTGTCCTCCTGCTGGTGCGGGGTGCCATCATGCACGCCGACCCCCACTTGTTGAGGAGGTGACGACCTGAGCGGGGAGGGAGCCCCACACACGCCTGGACCCGCAAGATAAGGGGCGGTGCGCAAGGCACGTAAAGGTACTTTTTGGCGCTTTTTCCGTCGCACACTCTAAAAAAACAGGGTACTTGTAATCGAGTGCATTTTCTTAAAACAAGTGCATGCACTCAGTTTATTCAAGTATACACTTGTTTCAAGAAAATGCGCTTGATTTCAAGTGCCTCCTTTTTAAGGGTGCAATCTTAGGGCGTACTATGAATAGTTCCCCAAATTCAAACCACATGATCTGCATATAATAAATTGACAGAAATACTTTACAAATGCATAATAAGCAAAATTATAATAACAGAGTATTACAAGTCAAAATGATACATCGAACCAAGAAGGTAAGGGGACCCTTTTTTTAGAACTATTTTCTGATATTTTACTATTTTAAGGTATTTGTCGATGGCGCATGGAATATTTTCACTCAAATTTTACTTTCGGGAGACACAACTTTTCGATTATTATTCAGACCGCACATGCGATTTCCTTATCACTCGGGGGACGATGCTGCTGCTGCCCTGCTTGCCGCTGTGGTCTCGCCCCGATGGCAATCTTTTTAAAGGTTTCCATGAAACAAAGAGTGCGGCCGGCGACCAGAAGACGTGGCGTGGCACGGCGTGGCGCGCTCCAGGTAAGTCGTGACAATGACACTGACCTATACCTGCCGCCGTGTTGTCGCCCCCCATTGCAGCGCAAACGCGTCGCTACAGAGGACAGCGGCCCGGGGAGGGCAACGACCCCGGGGGAGACATATCCTCCTATAATAATGATTACTTTTGGGGCGACACGGCGCGACACATACAGAGCGGGGGAGCGTCTGAAAACCCCGCCAAGACACGAACACCAACCAATGTGGTAAGGTGGACAAGAATATCTCACCAAAAAGGTGTGTTATTCTTTCATTGCATAAATGTACACTGGGAATTTAAGTCTGCTTCAGACTTTTCCCACACCTGCAGATGTGTGAATGACCATTCTAACCCTTCGGAACGGGTGAAGGACCATCTTATTTTCAGGTGAACGAACATCTATTCGCTCACTGTAAATATTTGGTGCACACCTGCAAGTATGTCAGTTTTTTCTTCTCACCTGGAGGTGAGCGACATTCGTGCACTTGGATCTACAGTTTGAGTCAGATTCAATGCCCCTTTGCACCCTCTCCAAAAAGTTTCCGAGACACACCGCTTATGCACGGCCCCGTGCGAGGGTGGCTGGGCAGCAAAGAGGGCATTCCTCCATTCAATGCAGGACCCTACCTGACTGACTTCTGCTGCGGGGGACGCGCACCGGCGGCCCCGGCGGCGGCGCACCTCAAGTGCACTCAGGTAACAGAAGAGTAAAGAGAAGAGACGTGACACTGCAATTATTCGTAGGTTAGAATGCAACTTTTCACGCAAAGTCTCCAAAAACTTTTTTTTTTCTCCGGGTCCCTTTTTAAAAATACCACCCTCACATCACACACGTTTGCTGCCTGGTTGTGGCGTAACTCGGGAGTACGGGGCGCAGCGGAAGCGCCGAGGGTGGCAGCAGCAGCAGCAGCGGGGCATGTGGTGGGGGCGGG